CATTTCAGGTGACTACCTCTTGAAGCTCATGGAGAGAATGCCAAGAGTGTGCAAAGCAGTAATCAGAGCAAAGGGTGGCTATTTTGAAGAAACTAGAATATAAAACATGTTTTCAGTTATTTCACCTTTTTTTGTTAAGTACATAACTCCACATGTGTTCATTCATAGTTTTGATGCCTTCAGTGAGAATCTACAATGTAAATAGTCATGAAAATAAAGAAAATGCATTGAATGAGAAGGTGTGTCCAAACTTTTGGCCTGTACTGTATTTATTCTCTATTGCACTCATTATTATTATTTTTGTTCTTGTTTTTTAGTTACATAGACTATATTTTTAATTTTTAAACTGCCCCATAATTCCATCTCTGTTGTAATCCGGAAGCCAAGCAACGACATTTCATTGCCAAAATCTCACTGCTGTGTTTTTTTTGTGCAATGACAATAAAGGAAGTCTAAGTCTAAGTCTAAGTCTTATTACCTGCATCTCTCTCTCTGTCTCTCTCTGTGTCTCTGTCTCTGTGTCATTGTGTCATACGGATTACTGTTAATTTATTATGCTGATCTGTTCTGTACGACATCTATTGCACGTCTGTCCGTCCTGGAAGAGGGATCCCTCCTCAGTTGCTCTTCCTGAGGTTTCTACCGTTTTTTTTCCCCGTTAAAGGGGTTTTTTTGGGGAGTTTTTCCTTATCCGCTGCGAGGGTGCAAAGGACAGAGGGATGTCGTATGCTGTAAAGCCCTGTGAGGCAAATTGTGATTTGTGATATTGGGCTTTATAATTAAAATTGATTGATTGATTGATTATCCCAAGATCGCTATGGCCACTACCATGTTTGGAATCTTATCGAATGTCAATGGGTCTATTTATATATTTATTTATTTTTTGCTCTTCTCTTCCTCTAGTATGCTCTTGGTCCCAAGGGAGGGTATAGAGGGAGGGTTATGGGGAGGTATACGGGATTATGTGTACTGATGTTCTGTATGTCTGTAAATGAGTGTATGTTTGCTTGTTCATAAAATTGAAAACCTGTTAAATAAAGTTTTAAAAAAAAAAATGCAGAAAAATCCAAATTCATGCTATTTTCAAACAGCAAAGACTTACCTTCTGATCTTCCAGAGATCTTACCAATTCAAGGGACTGAAATTGAAATGGTTACAACTTACAAGTATTTAGGGTTCATCATTGATCAGAACTTGTCTTTTAAATCACATATTGAAAACCTTGTCTCCAAGCTGAAGGTTAAATTGGGCTTTTTCTTTAGAAATAAATCAAACTTCTCCCTTCAGCCAAGGAGACACTTAATATCTGCAACTTTTTTTACCTCTGCTGGATTATGGTGATTTGCTTTTCATGAATTCCCTTGACCAGTGTCTAAAGAAGTAAGACACTGTGTACCATTGTGCTTTGCACTTCTTTACTGGTTGTGGAAATCACATACACCACTATACTCTGTATGCCACTGCTAAATGGCCGTCTTTATATGTCCGCAGGCTCTCGCATTGGTTGTTTTTTGGGTTTTTTTAAGATTATTTTTATGGGCTTTTTGCCTTTAATGATAGGACAGTGAGTGAAATGGGGAGACAGAGAAAGAGTGGGGACTGACATACAGCAAAGGGCCGCAAGCCAGATTTGAACCCGCGGCCGCTGCGGCGAGGCAATGCCTCTGTACATGGGGCGCCAGCACTATCCACTACGCTACTGATGCCCCAGCGCATTGGTCGGTTTTTATATATAAATCTATTATTGGCCCTTTTACCTTTCTACATACATGTGCAGAAACCATAATCAATACGGCCTTCGCTCTTGTAATAATCTTCAAATGCAGGTTCCAAGGGTGAGAACAGAACTAGGCAAAAAAGCTTTTAAATATGCTGCTCCCTCATTTTGGATAATCTTTAGAAGGATCTGAAACTGGCAGAATTGATCACTGTGGGGGAATTTAAGTAGATTTTAAAGGATCGCGAAATTAGCTCTTTTAGTCAATGTGACTTAATTTATTTTAAAGATGTACTCACATCATATTTGTTATTTTCCTGGACCTTTCATTTCATTTTCATTTATTTCAAGCAGTAGAGCATTTTTTACATCATAAATGACCTGTATACAACAAAAACTAATACGGCAAATACTTTGAACAGGAGACATGCAGGTTCGATATTTAAATTAATTCATTAACACTCGAAAAGGAGTGGGAAGAAGAAAACTTATTTAATCCCACCCCCATTTCTCATCAATAACTTAACACAATGAGTTAAATACTCCCTCCTGTCTTTTAACATCAAACCAGGACAATGAACAAAAAGGCCTATACCAGATTATAATAAACTTATTCCACAGTATTTACATTATATAACCAAAGTGTGTGTGAAAATAGGAACAATGTACATTCATGGTAAGAACAACAATATCAGAAAGGTAATGGACACTACATACCAACTTAGTGAGGAACAACAAGCACACATCAACATTTTAAGACAGAAAATTGATTTAACATAAGTATTAAGACCCGCTCTCTTTATACTGTGACTAGACCATATGTTTATATAGCAGTTTAAATCTGTGGATATTTTGGCATTGCTTATGTTGGATATCCAGACTGTTCCAAAGTTTCACTCCACATACAGAAACACAAAAACTTTTAAGAGTGGTTCAAACTTTAGGTAATGTGAAGTCTCCATATACTGTTAAATTATGAGTTCTCTCCCGAATTGTGTAGAAATGTTGTATATTACTTGGTAGTAATTTGTTGAATGCTTTGAATAAGATTATTGATGTATAATATTTTACAAGACCATGGATTTTTAATAGTTTTGACTGAATAAACAGATTATTAGTGTGTTCTAGAAATCCTACCTTGTGAATGATCCGCACTTTTGGAGATTTTTGTTTTTATGTGTCTGACATGGGCTTTCCATGATAATTTATTGTCTATTATAACTCCTAAAAATTTATTCTCATCTACATTTTCAATATGGACACCTTCAATCATTATATGTAGTTCTGAATTGGTTTTAGAATTTCCAAACATCATTGCCTTAGTCGTATTTAAATTTAATGATAATTTATTATTGTCCATCCACTTCTTCAGTTTATTTAATTCCTCATTTACCGTGTTTACAAGTTCATTATAATTATTACTACTAAAGAATATGTTGGCGTCATCTGCAAAGAGTATGAGTTTTAGCGATTGGGATACATCAAATATGTCATTGATATAAACACTGAATAGTTTTGGTCCCAAAACGGACCCCTGGGGGACACCACAAGAAATGCCAAGATTTTTTGATGAATACAGTCCCATTTTAACATATTGTACCCTTCCTGTTAAGTAGCTTCTTAACCACTCCCCGGCAACCCCCTCTAATACCATATAGTTTAAGTTTGTTGAGTAGGATTGAGTTATTGATTGTATCAAAAGCTTTTGTTAAGATCGATAAAAATTCCAACAGCATGTGTTTTTTTTTTTGGTCCAGTGCGTTAGTGATTTCTTCTATTGCTTCAATTATTGCCATTGAGGTGGTTGTTTTTGTTCTAAATCCATATTGACCATGATTAATTATCCGGTGTTTGTCAAGAAACTTTTCTAGTCAGGAATTAAAGAGTTTTTCTAAGATTTTGGAAAATTGCGGTAGTAGGGATATTGGTCTGTAATTTGTGTAGCTGTGTTTACTCTCATTTTTATATAATGGAATTACTGTTGCAATTTTCATTTTATGTGGGAAACGACCAGATTGGAATGATAAATTACCTTGTATTTCATGTTAATTGTATATTGTGGTTTTTATTCATTTGTTGGGTATGACAGTTGTATATGTCTATATGTCCATGTTGTAACTTGTAACAATATTGTATGCTGCCCTCTTGGCCAGGTCACTCATGAAAAAGAGATTTTTAAATAAAGGAGATATAAGATAAGCATCAGCGCCAAAATCTTAAATGTCTGTTGTTGATTACAGTGGATGCCTCTATGTGTTTCGGTGCTTACAAATGAAAATCTAGTTTTAAACTGATCAATCAGAAACAGCGTTTGAACAAACATTGAAAGTAAATAAAACACAAAGTTTTGTTTCGAATACAACAAATGCAAACATGGCAGGGTGCCATAATATTAAGAATGAAATGCTTTCTTTGTGTGTGTCCCTTAGGTGGAGACAGTAGGAGAGAGAATAGTTTTATACATCCTTAATCGTGTCATCTATAGAGCCAAGGAGATGAGCTCTGATGAGCTTCCCTTCCTTTGCCATGGAGAAAAAGATCATGCAAAAATCCTCTGGAATAATGGAGAGGCAGTTGGCTTCTACTCAGTCAAACCCTCAGGTAATTTATCTCCACAGATAGACCCAGACTCTTATCTGGTTCTTCACTGTGTAGTTTTCTTTCAGTTGGTATTTACTATGGAGAATTTTTCTAAAGGTTTTAAAAGAAAAACTGTATATGCTGACAATGTAAGTGATCTTCTCAATGCCAACACTGCTTACTGCTCAGTTGTTTCAACCACTGTTTGTTCAGCCCAGGAAGTGTTTGTAGATACATTTGCATTCATGCAGGACCAGAGGGCTGCACCACAAAGCAAGTTTGCCAGAATCAGGCTCTCTCTGCCTGAGCTGACTTGACAAACCCTAAAGCCTCAGTCAGAGGTAACAGATACCACAAAGGTGGTTATCAACTGTCTCTGTTAACTTCAGGCTGTGAGTGTGAGTGCTTTGCGAATCAGGGATGAGGTGACATAGTCAGATAGGTTACGGGTAGGAATACCTCGGAGTTTGCTTGCTAAATGAGTTTTCTTTAGGAGTTTATTCTTATTGGTGCTTGTGAGCATATGGAAAAAAACAGATGGCACCATACAGAAAAACTGGTTCGGTAATGCTACAGTACAGGAGAAGAAAAGGATGGGGTTGTATTGACAGGTGGTTTAATTTATGGACGGCTGTAAGTCTCTGCTGACATTTGTAAATGTCCGTGGTATGCTGATTGAAGATAAGGTTATTATCCAGTGTAATGCCAAAGTGCCTGAGAGACTCCACCACCTCAACCCTCTCCCCTTTGATGGTGGCCCAGAGTGGATCAGTGTTTTGGGGGGGGGTGGGGGCTCAATAGCAGTTCTTAAGTTTTTGGGATGTTAACATGGAGAAAGTGAGCCTAAATGGGATATGGAATGTTGATAGGCTAAGAAGGAGTCGCTGTTGTTACTGAGCAATACAAGATTGTGTCATCTGCAAATTTACAGTAGAGGGTAGTGGTGGAAGGATTCAGACAAATGTCTGTATACTGAGTGTAAAGAAATGGACTGAGTACACACCGCTGTAGAGCGCCAGTATTGAGAGTAATGGTACGTGAAAGTGAATTTTCAATGTAACATTATGACTAAACAAGTTGGATTAAGCACATTTGCAATGTATTCCCTTAGCTGAGAATCTGTAGTACTCATATATTGATATATATTGACACTGACTATAGAGTGACACGACTCCAAGGAGTGATGAAAAGCGCTTTTTAGCCGAAACTCCGCACATAAGCTGTTCCTGACCAGGTTTGGTCTGCAGCATAACTTACCATGGCGATCTAGCCAGGTTAGAAGACAGCCACCTTCTTAGAATGAGAAACTCTGGCTTTAGACCCAACATACCTTGCTAACACACTAATCTCACTTCCTGGTATAGCCCTGTGGTTTAGTCCATGTGTGATAACTGATATCAGTTCGTTCCTTTCTGTCCTCACAAGTGTGTTTTTTTCCCTTTTGTAGGCAGCTTATGTAATTCTTTTTCAACCAGAAGCTATCAGCTCCCTGTGATGGACTCCATATTTGTCCGAAAATGTCAGCGTGGTAAAGGCTTCGGCCTCCAGATGCTCGAGGACTTTGTGCTTAGTTTCAAAGAGGACTGTCTGGGGTTGAGGTACCCCCTTTCACCATCCATGTATAAAGGTACATGACTCCACCTTATTAATATGAGCAGTATGAATTTACTGTCTTACAGTCAGCTGTGTTTGTTCTGTTATTTCATAGAAGCGTAAACAGTACATTACTATCAAGACACTCTTCTTTGTTCGCAGTGTGTGAGAAGTACCTGTGTCAGTATCCAGGAGACACAGGCCTGCTGTGGGAGGTGGAGGGCATAGGTGGGCCCAACCAGAGGACAAATATTGCCAGTAGGATTCAGGCCATGGAGCAGAGTGGTAAGAAAGCACAGAAACGACACTGTAGAGTTGGACGTTTTAAAAGACTTGACACCATAAAGATTATATTTTCAATCATCTTGAAATTGTTTGTTTAATTCTGTTAAGAACTGCAAAACTGTTTGACAGATTTTTTAGTGTACTTATCTAAGCCTTTAAATATTACATCTTTGTCCATCTACATCTTAATCTGTTTCTCAGCAGTATCCAAGAACCTGTCATTCACAGAAGAATCACTTGTGATTACCCAAATGACCGGAAAGGGTGTGGCGATGGAGGCAGTTACCACTCAGATAAAAGATGCTGAATCAGTGGAATGCACTGTTGAAATTGTGGTACATTATAACTTTTTCTTCCAATGTGAGAAACATGAATTTGAGAAACAAATAATTCTGCAAGTAAAAATAATCCACTTAATTTTTAGGAGGAAGTGACAGTACTGAGCGCTACCATAGGTGAGCACTTTGTCATTTTAACCTTTTAACATTGTAACCTTTACCTTACATTGTATATTAATGTATGTATTATTAAAGTGATAACATACATTATAAAAATTTAACCATTTCAGAGGCCGAAGTGCCCCTCACAGCCAGGGGGAGGAGCAGTGGCTCAAAACGAAGGAAAACAGGAGAAAAGATTGCAGAGGACAAGCCAGAAAAAGTACTCAGGTCTGTAAGAATTCAACCATGTTACTCCTGAGTGCACCATGGATGCACTTATGTGAGGAAATTAAGAATTTACATCTTAGATGCTTGGAATTCAAATAGCTGGAAATCTAAAGTCTAAAACACAGTTGCATATTGATTCAAAGTCAGAGCCTCAGTGGTCTTGTTAGAGGCTGTGTGCCGTTGTGGCCCACTGTGAAATTTCATCAAGGGAACTATAGCCATTTCAATATGTTAACATTTTAATTGTGCAAGTGCAACAACCAGTGCAAAGTAGTAGTTCTGGATGCAGAGACGATGTGGGCATCTCCACCTGGTATTTTGGCTCATGTATGTGCAGCAGTGCAAAGTACAAAAGGACCACTTGAAGGTGAATATAGATCAGAGGGTGTGATGATTACAATCACAGCACAATCAAAGTGAACTATGATAGCAACTGTTAGTACAATGATCATGGAAGTCCATCCATTTATTTTCATCCACTTATCCGGGCTGGATCACAGGGCAGCAGGCTAGACAAGGTATTCCAGACGTCCCTCTCTCCAGCAACATTTACCAGCTTCTTCTTGAGAACCCAGAGGCGTTCAGAGGCCAGAGGACATATATATATATATGATCCCTCCCTCCTATTACTATTTGGATGTGCCCAGAAAACGTCTAACGAGAGGCACCCAAGTTGATCCTAATTAGATACCGTAATTGCCTCAACTGGTCCCTGTGGTCGCAAAGGAGCAGCAGCTCTACTATTTTTCTCTGGATGTCTAAGCTCCTTTCCCTATCTCTAAGGCTGAGCCCAGTCACCCTACAGAGGAAACTCATTTCACCGGCTTTTTTTCAGTCACTACCCAAAGCTCATGACCACAGGGGAGTGGCAGAAAGTTGAGGGACTAGTGAAGCAAGAGTTTTGCTTTGGGGCTCAGCTTCTTTTTCATCACACGGACCGTGAGAATGCCCACAGCACTGCTGACAAAGCACCTATTCGCCTTTCCATCCTGTGCTCTATTTTACCCTCACTTGTGATCAAGACCTCAAGATATTTGAAATCCTTCACTTGAAGCAGTAACTTGCTCCTAACCAAGACTAAGCTATCCACTGTTTCCCGGCACGTTTCTCATCAGAGTTGTACTGTCTCATTCAGGGCTTATTTCTGTCTTATACCTAACTATGCACATATCCATTCCATAGTCTTTCACGTTTGCTTTATGCGCGTTTCTCTAGTTACACATCTCCCCTTAATTTTATCTTTACTTATTTATTAGAAGCCTGTTGCCTGTTGGTAAAGTAAAGATCACCTCATGTCAAACAGTAGGTTGTCCCTCTCCCTCCTTACTCTTCTTTTGGGGGGGTTCCCTATTCGACTATGGAGTCATCACCCTCCTTAATCATACCATCTCTTTGGGGTCCAATCGGCAAAGACTTTCCACATTCTTATTCATACGTTCACGTTAATAAATATTCTTTTACCATTAAAAACAAGTCACTCCTGATTGAAATGAAGCTCAGCCTAAGTTAAATCAGGAAGACCATCTTTGTGCTCACCCTTTCACATTTCTCTCCATCCCACTTTCACTACTCCCTCTAATCAGCTGACTATGGGTGTTCACTTCTCTTGTTATCCAATCACACTTTGCCATGATCTCTCAGCCAATCAGGATGCCACTGCAAAATTTTAAATCTGCTCTCTCTTCTGCTGATGCCAGCCATCATTTAGGTTTACTTTGCAGTTCTCTTGTTGATAGTAACAGCCTTGTGCGATTCCTCAGCAGAAACGGAATCATCTCTCACTCATCACATCCTCCAGTTCCGGCATTTGCACCTGTTATAGGTCAGTATTGTCAACAAGCCTTCGTTTCTAGCTCCTGTCTCGATCTTAGTGTCATGTACGGATTCAAGATGTGGGCCCAAACTACACGTAACATGATCTGTTGCTTCGGGACACTGCATACGTACACCCGGAATGCCATGCACAGTCCCCGGTCACTCCCTTCTTCATCCAGTACAAGCTCTCAAAGACACAACTCCTCGTCTTATCCAGATCATTGGCACTTGGGAACACCTCGGGATCCCCCAGGAGGATGGACGTAGGGAATGCCTTGCACAGCCTGCTGCCCTCGCAACCCATTCCTGAAAGATAATGGATGGATGGTGTGGATGTTGTACTGTAGAGTCAGGTGCAGTCCCAGGTTTTATAAAACATGTTTACTCATTCACAACATCCTGTGTGTGTGTGTGTGTGTGTGTGTGTGTATGACAAAAACAATAAATGTCGCAGTATCTCCAAATTAATTTCAGAAGCATTCATTTTTCTCAGCCTGTCTAAAATTTTTATTAGTACCTAAAAGTTGTAAAGGGGCAAGCCCACCTAATCTCATTCCAAAGTCATCAAATACTGCCACTTTGTCAGTGATTTTGGCATCAGACACCTGACATCAAAAGCCACTTTTCACGGTAATATGATACAGGGCCAGCTGGCCAGAAGGCTCTTGTTGTGGCACTATGATATGCGGACAGGCGGCATCACTTTATAACGCAGCTGGTTTGGTGCATTTCGCTGCGGTATGATACACCGCTGGATGGCGTCAGGTTAAAACGTTGCCAGTAACAGCATAATGTATTAACTTGGAAAGTCCCCTGTAGGGCGGAGGGGAGGGGTGGTGGATGGGTCCAACAAACCCTAGACTTTTACCCAGGAGCCCGGTGTTTGCTTCCTGTCTGAATGTAGAGCCAAACCATGATGTTTTTTTTCGAAACCTAACCATGTGCTGTTGTTGCCTGAACCTAAGCACGTGGTTATTTTTGTCAAAACCAAACCATTTGCTTTTGTTGCCTAAACCTAACCACATGCCTTTGTTGATGTCCCAGCATTGGTTTTGATTCCCCAGAATGTCAGCAGCAGATGCAGGATGATACGTAGCGCGTAATATGTAGATGTGAAAGGACACTGATAAAGTTGCAACATGTGACTACTTAGGATGAGAACGTGTTGAGAAAGCTTGAGACAGAAAATAGGCTGTTACAGGAAAAGATGGCTCTCTGTGTCACAGTGCTCAAATTCCCTGACGCCTAACAAGCATGTTGAATGTATTCTCTCTCTGCATTTCCTGCAAGGCAGATTCTTCCATTTAGAATGTTGTGAGAAGGCCTTCTCAAGTCCCCCATAGTTGTAAAACACTGTTGAGAAAAGTAACAAACAAACAGCTTCACGTGTCAATACAGCATTCCATTTTTTCTGTTAAAAGTGGAAATGAATTCTTGACTTTGGAAACGGTATAATATGAATATATTTGAAAATTCTATCGTGAAATATTATGTTATGAAAAATAAATGTAACTCAAGGTCTGCCCAATAGCTTTTCCTCACATCTTGTGGTTTTCATCATTTTTCGGTCATGTAGTACTTGTGTATCTCTTTTAGATGGTAACAGTTTCTGGTGTCTGAAGTGAATGTCCTTTATCTTTCTCCTGCCATCCATTCACTTTTGCAAGATGACTTCGACCCCTACCCAAGTGGGAAACTGAAATTTCTAATTATGATACAATACCTTGAAAAATATTGATATTTGATCCCATATATCACAGGGATAATTAACATTCAGGACTCAAAATTTTAGCTCAGTCCATAGGGACTTGGGTTGGGAACCGGAAGATCGCCTGTTCGAGTCCCCGTCCGGACCAAATATGGAGCGTGGACTGGTGGCTGGAGAGGTGCCAGTTCACCTCTTGGGCACTGCCGAGGTGCCCTTGAGCAAGGCACCGAACCCCCCAACCGCTTGGGGCGCCTCACCAAGGCAGCCCCCTCACTCTGACATCTCTCCACTTTGTGCATGTATAGGTCCTGTTTGTGCATGTGTGTGTCTTTCGGACTTGTGTGTAATTGACAGCAAGAGTGAAAAAATTGAATTTCCCCTTAATAAAGTATATTAAAAATAATAATAATAATACTAATAATATTAATAATAAGCTGGGGGAAACACTATATTAGTGAAACAGCAAGGATCCTAGACATGAACACCAGAAACAGACAGCATCAGCTGTCTATGAACACCAGACCAAAAGCACTCACAGTATACACTGGAAGAGGTCAAAGTTGGTCTAGCAGGAGTCAGGGGACATCAGGAGGAAACTGACACCAGAGACCATCTTTGAAACAGACAGGAGCTAAGATCCACCCATATGGAACACTGACAAGGGAACTTTGTCATGGACAACTGAGCTGACTATATCCGCTGAGGAAAACTACAAAATGGGGTAGAAAACTCAGAAATTAGATAGAAGACCTTGAACAAAGGACAGGTTTATAATTTTGCAAGTCTGTCTGAGAACAATAGTTGGGTGCCCATATGAACAATAGGCCTCCTGCATGAATGTTTTCTTATTTTTCTTGTATATTTTTGCACAAAGCCATAAGAGGAAAAGAACAAAATCCTACATGGGATTCATGACACGTGCACTGACAGCCAAGTCTGTTCTTACCCATGTTAATGAATCACATGCCAGGCAATTTGCATTCAGCACAGGGAAAAGCCCTAAACAGGCAGAATACTTAAGTGCTGGGTGCAAACCACAAATCAACAAGCCACTAGCATTTTACAGGTAGCATTAAACTCAGACAAAAATAGAAAGGAAGTGGCTGTCAGTTTCTGGTTATAGGCCACCTCCTGCTGGGTCTGAGGTAGGAAAGTGGTGTCATAAACCATGGTAGTAGCAGATAGCCCAGATTACCAAAATTAAAAGTTACATTTATGTTGAAATGGGAAGACTTTAAAAAAAATTCTATCATAGGCCTAACACTTACACCACCCATCTCCAGCAGCACCTTGATCCAACCACATACCCACGAACTGCATTTTCATAAAATAAATTGCTGATTCACCATTATTCATATTTCACAACACAAACTTTTCTTAAATTTTGATCTTACTTAAGAACAAGTGCAAGTACTGATGAAAGCCACAAAAGTTCTCAAATTGTAATAGCAGGTATGAACAAATTGATTACAGTAAGCAAAAACAGTTTCAGTGTACATATGGCCATGTAAATATTGTTTAATGACGGACTTGACAAAAAGTTACTCTATTCTTGTTTTTGTTTACACAGCTTAAAGCTAATAGAGCAGATCCATTCATTAAAGGGAAATTTCGGTTTATTTCAACCTGTCTCCTATCGTCCTAAATTTGTTTCAAGTGACTAGTGACATAAAAATAATAGTTAGCATGTTAGCCGTTAGCCTAGATACAGCCGGGGCACATTAGTAGCGTCAGACCTGTTAAAACGTAAGTGAACGGGCATACCTTCAAGTGCGAAGTTAGTCCACTAAACAAGCTTTTTTTCCACAAAGACCGCCTCATATCGTTAGGATAAATGTCAGAGAACATACAGACAACGACATGTAAACGTGTTGTCTTACCTTACCGGTGTGCTGCCATGTTTGTTTGTCATCTAGCTCTGCTTTCCAAAGCGTGAGAGAGGCGCAACAGGTAGAGGAAAATTGGTGGTGTACCTGTGAGGAATGCCTCTGTTGCAAGGAATGGGACTGGTTGCAGCCTTATTTTCAAGGTCTGGATGTGACCAAGGACGAGACACTTCCACCTGGAGTAACGTTAGTATCCAGCTGGGCTTTATCTAGAGCTGGCGAGATATATTTCGGCCGCGCTTTGGAAAGCAGAGTTGGATGGTAAACAAACATGGCACCACACCGGTAAGGTAAGACAACACGTTTACATGTCGTTTTCTATATGTTCTCTGACATTTATCCTAACGATATGAGGCGGTCTTTGTGGAAAAAATCTTGTTTAGTGGACTAACTTTGCACTTGAAGGTATGCCCGTTCACTTAGGTTTTAACAGGTCTGACGCTACTAATGCACCCCAGCTGTATCTAGGCTAACGGCTAACACGCTAATGATTATTTCTATGTCACTAGTCACTTGAAACAAATTTAGGACGATAGGAGACGGGTTGAAATAAACTAAAATTTCCCTTTAAAATGGCAATTCACAAAGGCAAATCATGAAGTATATATTCATATGTTACAGTTACAATTAAGAGGAAAGCAATAAATTCACCCCTGAAAGGAATAGAGTTTATTGCCTGTCTGTTTTTGCAAGAAGATTTAAAAGTGGTTGGTTTTCAAACGTTTGCTCTGCCTTGTTACATCATTTAATACTTACACCAATTATTGTTTGAAATTAACATGTGATGTCTAACGTCTTTTAGAATTGAGGATATTGAAGCAGAAACTCCCAGAGGGGAGCAAGTTTCTGCGCAACAGGAGACAGAACTGCATAATGTCTCTGAATTGGTACAGACTGAGGTGTGTATCTTCAAATTCTTACTTGCATGTTTGTCTACATGACCAGCACAGCAACTTGTACATTAATTATTTTGTTTATTTTAGGGTATGATCAGTGTGGCTCCTGAAGGACAAGGAGAGGATGCAGTTGATACTGTACCTGAAGAAACAGTTCGTGTGTTGGACCAACCAGCCACTGTCTTAGCCCCACAAGACCTAGAGGAAGCTGATGTTACATTAGCACCAGTGACTGAAGAGCCACAAGTAGAAAATGATACCCCACAGGATCTGACCAACACATCCCATGGCTCACAGATAACGGTTGAGAATGTGGCATCAGAAATTGAGGAAGCAGAGAAAGAGTATCAGAAAGAAGACACTGCAGTGCTAGTTGTTTCTGAAGAGGTTTTGGAGGTACACAAGGGAGCAGAAACTCTGGACAAAGTAGGAGAGAAAACTCAAATTGGGGACACTGGTGAAAAGTTAGAAAAAAAAGTTACACAACATGAGGTGAGTCTGTTAACATATGCAACATCAGAGGATGGTGAAGCTGGAAGAACTGGAAAAACAAGGAGAACTGTTGTAAAGGCCATAAAAACTGTACAGAGTGAAACCCCCAGACGGAGATCTAAGCGGCAGCACAAGCTACAGGAGGGGTTAAAGGAGGAATCTACAGTCCAGGGTGGAGACTTAATTTTGAGAGGAAGAACTGTTACAAAGACCCCCACACCTAAACGCAAAAATCCCTGCTGCAGCCAGAAAGTAAGTGAAGAACTAGAGAAAGAGGCCAATGAAGTGGCAGACGAGAATGAAGTTTCCACAACTGATGTAGTGGAAGAGTCAGCTGTAATTGAGAGAGAGCAAGAAGAAATGACATCTGTAAAAAGGGATGTAGTTGATGTGGAAGAATTAACAGAAGAAAAGCAACAGCTCAAAGATGAACAACTAGCAAATGAAGGGGAGGCAAAGAAACAACATCAGCCTGGGGTGGAAGACACTGTAGTGAAGGGATGTTCCACAGAGCTTCCCAATATAGCAGAAACTGCATTGACAAAGGAAAATGAGGATGAAAAAGTTACAGATGAATCTCAGAAAATACAAAAAGGCAAGAAGGTAGAAACATCAGTGATAGGGGATAAACAAGATGTCTCTGATGATGAGATACAGGAGCCCCCTGTTGCACAGAAGAGAGCCTTGACTGGCAGACTTAAAGTCACTCCCAAACCTCAGCCCACAAGACAAAGCAAAAGACATCAGAAACAAAAGGCAGAGCACACAGATGAAGCTGACCTGGAAACAGGAGGTTATGCTGGTGAAGAGAAAGCAGATGAACAACCGACAGAAAAACAGATGGATGAACACCACAAGGATGAACAAGAGGAGACTGCTGACAAAACAGAAAAAGATATATCAATAGAGGAAACAACTGTTTTGAAAAAAAGTCGAATTCCACAGACAGAGAAGACAGCAGAGGATGTTATACCTTCAACTGAAGTAAATGTGGAAGGGACCAAGGAAGTACAAGAAATGGAAGAGACTGAGGGAGAAGCAGAAAAGGAGAAAGAGTCAGTCAGTGTCTTCAGGAAGGGAGGGTGTTCTGCTGCTGCCACAGCTAGACTTAAAATAGCCCACACACAGTGTCAGACAGAGGAAGAAGGAGAAGAAGAAACTGAAGAGACTGAAAGAGAGGAAGAAGAGACAGGGCAGGAATTGTCTGAGGAGAAAGGGGAGGGGGTAGGGGAAGAAGAAAAGAGTGTGGAAATGGAGAAAGACAAAGATGTGGAAGATGAAATTGAGAGGGTGGCCGGGGAAGAATCTGCCATAGGTGACACAGAGCAGATGAAAGATGTCTCAGCAGAGGAAGCAGCAGTGCTTGAAGAGGAGGACAACAGTGTAAAAGCTGTTGATGAGATCAGTACTCACACAGTCCAGATTTCACCAGCTGAGGTAGAAGAGAGGAACTCAGCTAAGGAAAGGCAAACCACAGTTCTAGAAATACCTACTGGTGCTACTGAAGTGGGATCAGACACTGCCATCACTGAAGAAGAGGAACTAGTAGGAGATGCATCTGTGGTGCCAGAAGAAGAAGCCCCAGCCATAACAACAAGAGCTCATAGGAGCAAAATAAAAACTTCACCTACCACACCATCACGATCCAAAAGACAGAAAGACCAAGGAGTTGTGGAGACTCAGCAACAGGAAGAGGAAAACCCTGAAGAAGAACAAGATCATGAGGTAACTAATGCTTCACCTCCAAGATTTGTACGACAAAGGCCAAGAGTGGACTCAAGTGTAAAAGGGGAAGTGGATGAGCAAGGTGAGACTGAGGCAGCCACTGACAAGGAGGAATCAGATGATGACGAAGACAACAAGGAAGCTAAATTTTCTGCAGATGAACCGAAAGAGAAGCTAGACAATTTAGATATAGATAATGAGGTAGAGACAACTGGTATAAGTCAAAAGGATGAGGACAATGAGCAGAACATGTCAGAGGAAGAGGTGGAGCCTATAGTGATTGGAAAGAGAGTTTTAAGAGGGAGGTCACTGCCTTCAGTAACAGTCACACCCCAGCCAAAATCCAGAAGGTGCAGGGCAAGAGCTCCAAAAGCAGAGGAGTCTTTGTCTGATGAAGAAATGAGCACTAAGTTAGCTCAGGCAGAAGAAAATGCACAGCCAGACGTTGAGATGGAAAAGCTAGAAGCTGTGGCACAGGAATCGGTCACAGAGCAAGAGGCAGTGAAAGAGGAACAGTCTGCTGTATCAGAGACATGTGCAGAGGGACAGGAAGTGGCTTCTGTTGGAGAAAGTTCTGAAAAGACACCTAATTCAGACAAGGGAATGGTTACTGATAAGGCAGAAGCACCGCCTGTTGAAACAGTAGTTCGTAGAAGTGGTGAAAAGACAGTGAGAACCACAAGAAGCAAAACCACAAAAAGACAAGATGATGAGCAAAAACAGTCGGCTGTTAAGAAAAGCACAGAAGAAGGTGAGCTGGCAGTAGAAACAAGATTTTTTAGGAGGGGAAGGAGGTCTGCTGCTGCCACAGCTAAACATAAATCCAAAAGAGCCTGTCAGACAGAGGAAGAAGGAGAAGAAGAAAGTCATCCTGCTGAAGAGACTGGAAGAGAGGAAGGAGAGACATGGCAGAAATTGCCTGAGGAGAAACGGGAGGAGGTAGAGGAAGAGGAAGAGAGTGTGGAAATGGAGAAAGACAAAGATGTGGAAGATGAAGTTGAGAGTACAGCTGGGGGAGAATTTGCCGTAGGAGATGCAGAGCAGATGAAAGATGCGTCAACAGAGGAAGCAGCAGTGCTTGAAGAGGAGGACAACAGTGACAAAGATGTTGATGAGATCAGTACTGACACAGTACAGATTTCACCAGCTGAGGTAGGAGAGACTAACTCAGCTGAGGAAGAGGAAACCACGGTTCTTGAAAAACCCACTGTTGCTCCTGATGTGGGATCAGACACTGCCATTGTAACTGGTGTGGCGGGTGATGTGATACAAGAGCCTGATACTGTGGCTGCTACTTTAGAAGCAGTCATACCTGATATAGTTCTAGGTGAGGCTGATGCATCAGCAGCTGGAGAGCCTCAGGAAAAGGACATTGGCTCTGAAATCCCCAAGCTCCAGAAAGCCACTATTATCTTAGTAGACATAAAAACAACCTGTCATCATCTTAGTGTAAAGGAGGCAGAAGAAACACCAGTTGCCAGAGTGCATGCTGCTTCAGAAAAGCAACAGGAAGAGGAGAATGGAGATAAACAGGAGAACATTAAAGAAAAACCTGTAGAGGCAACTGTAGAGACAGAGACTTCCAAGAAAGAAGAGCTTGAAGAAGACAATACTGAAAAAGAAAAGGATGAATCTGCTGATGTGAGGAAGTATGCAGAGGAAGCACTGGTTACTGAAAAACAAACAGTTGAATCAAGCTGTGAATCAACAAGTAGAAGTGACCAGCAAAAGGAGGAAGACAACACAGGTGAGGGTTTAACAAAAAATGAGTTGGATGAAGTAGAAACAGGTACTGATGAGGTGGAAGAAGAGATGGAATCTGTGGATAAGGATGCAGTTATAGTAATAGTTCCAGTGGAGAAGAAGCAGTCTGCAGTTTCTGAGATATGTAGAGAAGCAGACATTCCAGCAGGAGATGATGCTGAAGGGAATCTTCCACCAGCTGAGGTAGATAAAGCAATGAGCTCGGAAGAAGAAGAAGAAGCATCAGTTGTTGAAACCAGAGCTCTGAAGCGTCAAACAAAACCAAGCAAAGCTACACCAAAACGCAAAAGCACCAGAAGAAGAAAGCAAGGTGATGCACAAGAAGAAGACAACAACAACAGGGAAGAACAACTAGCAGTGACAACGAGAACACTGAGGAGTGGCAGGATATCTGCTTCTGACACACAAAAAGGCAAATCCAGAAGAAGCTGCAAACAAATCCAGGAAGGAGGGCAAAATGTAGAAGAGAAAACTCAAAGTGTCAACAAAACAAGGGTAGAAGAAGATGAGGCTGTAGAACCAGCTATAGAAAAGACAGATAAAGAGATGGAGGACAAAGATAAGATAGTAGAAAAGTTTAAGGAGGAAGCTGCCACTGAAAGAGTGGAAGACTTAGAACCAGAAATAGATATGGAGGATGGGAAAGCAGTAACAATGCAAGCACAAGATGGAGTGGAAGAGCAATTAGAAAGTATATTCAAAACATTTGCAGAAAAGGAGGTGGAGGCTTCAGGTGAAGAATGTGATGAAAGGAAACCAGCTATGGGGCGTGAGGAAATGGAGCTACTGCCAGATGCTGTCACCAGATCTCTGAGAAGTGGTCAAAAGATGTCCAAAGCTTCACCAAAAAACAAGTCCAGACAAAGCAAAAAACAGCAAGATGAAATGAAGGAGGGGGGGGTATCTGCAGAAAAGAGCACTGATGGAAATGAACCTCCAGCAGAAACAAGAATTTTGAGAGGGGGAAGGAAGTCTGTTTGCGGAATACACAAACAACTCAAGAAAGAGGAAGACGGATTGAAGGAGTCAGGTGAGGAAGCAGGGGTAGTGGAAGAAGAAGAGGCAAGGCTGGGATCAGTCAAAGAGCCACCAACAGAAGCGGATGAGGGGAAGGTCCCAGAGGAGGATAAAACAGAGATGGAGAATGAAGAATTTGTTCCTGTAGAAGTGAGAAAAGGAGTGTCAGAAGAGGGAACGATGGAAATTACTGAAGATGAAGAGAACACAGCTGGAGACGCAGCTGATGCAGATGAGTTAGTACAAGGAGAGACTGACACACAATTACCCGAACTAGCTACGGACTCCGCTGTACTTTCACCTAGTAAAGAAGAGGCAACACATTCAGCAGAGGATCAACAGAGTGAAGAAATGGCACCCAAGCTTTCTGATCTCCAAAGACTGACTGTGGTTTTAGTGGACGTGCAAAAAAAACATCATGACATTAAGGAAGTAACAGCAGCTGCCAGGCTGGGGGGTTCTGTACAAAAGACTGCCACTACCGCAGAAGAGGAGCAGAAAGAAGAAGGAGCGGCAGAGGAGAAAGTTACTGGGTTCCCTTTGGGAACAGAAAAAAATGAGCTGGAGAAGGTGATAGTGGAAGAGGAAGAATTTCAGGATGATGTGGAAGCAGTCACAACAAAAGATACAGGGGAGGGGATAGCTGAGGAGACAGCTAAAGAAGAGGAGGCTAAAAGTATTAATGATGAGCAGGAGCCTATAATCACCGAAACTAAAACATGTAGAAGTAAAAAGCAAGCAGTCAAAGCCACACCAAGTACCAAATTAGCAAGAAGCGGACAGAAAAAGGGTGAACTAGCAAAGGAGGCTTCAACAATTCAGAAAGTTCAAACAGTTCAAACAGTTCAAATAAGGGTTCTGAGGAGGGGAAGGATGTTTAGGCCTGTCACACAAAAATGTGCAACAAAAAGAACCCACAAGCAGCTCCAGGAAAGAGAGGAAGTAGAGGGAGGAGAGAAATCTACAGCAGTTAAGGACAGAGTGGAAGAACAGAAACAACAGCAGGTGATTGATCAAGAGAAGAAAGAGAAACTTAAAGAACGAGATGTAACTGAACAAGTAGAACAGATAGAAGCAGAAATGGGCATGGACAAAGAGAATACTTTTGCAGAGGAAGCTGTCATACAACAAGAGGAGGAACAACTCAACAGCACTGAGACAGCTGGAAATGAGGAAACAGGGGCTTCAGCTGGACAGCATGCTGATGAGGGAAAGGCCCCAGATGTTGCAGAGGAAGCAGTCCCAACACAAGATACAGTGGAGGGGGAACAGTTGACCTCTGCATCGAAGGAAGTGGAAAGTGCAGCTGGAGTAAGTACACAAGAGACACTGTTGACAGCAAAGGATGACAAGGCAAACAATGTGTCTGAGAAGGAGGAAGCAACAGTTACTGAAAGAGTTCTGAGAAGTGGTGAAAAGACAGTGAGAGACACAAGACGCAAAACCACAAAAAGACAAAAAGATGAGCAAGAAGAGACAGCTGTTGAGAAAAGCACAGAAGAGGATGAGCTGACAGTAGAAACAAGAATTTTGAGGAAGGGAAGGAGGTCTGCTGCTGCCACAGCTAGACAAAAATCCAAAAGAGCCTGCACACAGTGTCAGACAGAGGAAGAAGGAGAAGAAGAAACTCCTCCTGCTGAAGAGACTGGAGGAGAGGAAGGAGAGACACGACAGGGATCGCCTGAGGAGAAAGGGGAGGAGGTAGAGGAAGAGGAAAGGGGTGTGGAATTGGAGAAGGACAAAGATGTGGAAGATGAAGAAGTTGAGAGTGCAGCTGGGGAAGAATTTGCCATAGGAGATGCAGCACAGATGAAAGATGCCTCAACAGAGGAAGTAGCAGTGCTTGAAGAGGAGGATAAAAGTGATAAAGATGTTGATGACATGAATACTCACACAGTCCAGATTTCATCAGCTGAGGAAGAGGAAACCACAGTCATAGAAAAAGTTACTGATGCTACTGAAGTGAGATCTGACACTGCCCTTACTGAAGAAGAAGAAATAGTAGGCGATGCATCTGAGGTGCCAGAAGAAGAGGCCCCAGCCACAACAAGAGCTCCTAGGAGCAAAATAAAAACTTCACCTGCCACACCATCACAAAGATGCAAAAAACTGAAAGACCAAGGAGTAGTGGAGACTCAGCAGCAGGAAGAAGAAGACCCTGAAGAAGAACAAAATTATGAGGTAACTAATGATTCACCTCCAAGATCTGTACAAAAAAGGCCAAGAGTGGACTCCAGTGAAAAAGGGGAGGCAGATGAGCGAAGTGAGACTGAGGCAGCCACTGAGAAGGAGGAATCAGATGATGACAAAGACAACAAGAAAGCTAAATCTTCTGCAGATGAACCAAAAGAGAAGCTAGACAATTTGTATACAGATAGAGAGGTAAAGACAGTAGGTATAAGTCAAAAGGATGAGGACAATGAGCAGGATATGTCAGAGGAAGAGGTGGAGCCTATAATGATTGGAAAGAGAGTTTTAAGAGGGAGGACAGTTGCTGCAGTAATAATCACACCTCAGCCAAAATCCAGAAGGCGCAGTGCTAAAGCTCAAACAGCAGAGGAGTCTTTGTCTGATGAAGAAAAGAACATTCAGTTAGCTCAGACGGAAGAAAATACAGAGCTAGAAGTTGAGATGGAAAAGGTAGATGCTGTGGTACAGGAATCAGTCACAGAGCAAGAGACAGTGGAAGAGGAACAGTCTGCTGTATCAGAGACATGTGCAGAGGGACAGGAAGTGGCTTCCGTTGGGGAAAGTTCTGAAAAGACACCTAATGCAGACAAGGGAATGGTTACTGATAAGGCAGAAGCACTACCTGTTGAAACAGTAGTTCGTAGAAGTGGTGAAAAGACAGTGAGAACCACAAGAAGCAAAACCGCAAAAAGACAAGATGATGAGCAAGAAGAGTCAGCTGTTGAGAAAAGCACAGAAGGGCTGGCAGTAGAAACAAGAATTTTGAGGAAGGGAAGGAGGTCTGCTGCTGCCACAGCTAGACAAAAATCCAAAAGAGCCTGCACACAGTGTCAGACAGAGGAAGAAGGAGAAGAAGAAACTCCTCCTGCTGAAGAGACTGGAGGAGAGGAAGGAGAGACACGACAGGGATCGCCTGAGGAGAAAGGGGAGGAGGTAGAGGAAGAGGAAAGGGGTGTGGAAATGGAGAAAGACAAAGATGTGGAAGATGAAGTTGAGAGGGCGTTCGGGGGAGAATCGGCTGTCGGAGATGCAAAACAGATGAAAGATGCGTCAGCAGAGGAAGCAGCAGTGCTTGAAGAGGAGGACAACAGTGTGAAAGCTGTTGATGACATCAGTACTCACACAGTCCAGATTTCACCAGCTGAGGTAGGAGAGACTAACTCAGCTGAGGAAGAGGAAACCACAGTCCTAGAAAAACCCACTGCTGCTACTGAAGTGGGATCTGACACTGCCATTACTGAAGAAGAGGAATTAGTAGGCGATGCATCTGTGGTGCCAGAAGAAGAGGCCCCAGCCATAACAACAAGAGTTCTTAGGAGCAAAATAAAAACTTCACCTGCCACACCATCACGATCGAAAAGACAGAAAGACCAAGAAGTAGTGGAGACTCAGCAGCAGGAAGAAGACCCTGAAGAAGAACAAGATCATGAGGTAACTAATGATTCACCTCCAAGATCCGTACGAAAAAGGCCAAGAGTGGACTCCAGTGAAAAAGGGGAGGTGAATGAGCAACGTGAGACTGAGGCAACCACTGACAAGGAGTAATCAGATGACGACAAAGACAACAAGAAAGTTAAATCTTCTGCAGATGAACCGAAAGAGAAGCTAGACAACTTAGACAGACATAGAGAGGTAGAGACAGCAGGTATAAGTCAAAAGGATGAGGACAATGAGCAGAATATATCAAAGGAAGAAGTAGAGCCTATAGTGATTGGAAAGAGAGTTTTAAGGGGGAGGTCAGTTTCTTCAGTAACAGTCACACCCCAGCCAAAATCCAGAAGGCGCAGTGCCAAAGTTCAAAAAGCAGAGGAGTCTTTGTCTGATGAAGAAAAGACCACTCAGTTAGCTCAGGCAGAAGAAAATACACAGCCAGAAGTTGAGATGGAAAAGCTAGAAGCTGTGGCACAGGAATCGGTCACAGAGCAAGAGACAGTGAAAGAGGAACAGTCTGCTGTATCAGAGACATGTGCAGAGGGACAGGAATTGGTTTCTGTTGGGGAAAGGGCTGAAGAGACACCTAATGCAGACAAGGGAATGGTTACTGATGAGGAAGAAGCACCAACTGTTGTAACAGGAGTTCTGAGAAGTGGTGAAAAGATAGTGAGAATCACAAGAAGCAAAACCAGAAAAGGACAAGATGATGAGCAAGAAGAGTCAGCTGTTGAGAAAAGCACAGAAGAAGATGAGCTGGCAGTAGAAACAAGAATTTTGAGGAAGGGAGAGAGGTCTGCTGCTGCCACAGCTAGACAAAAATCCAAAAGAGCCCGCACACAGTGTCAGACAGAGGAAGAAGGAGAAGAAGAAACTCCTCCTGCTGAAGAGACTGGAGGAGAGGAAGAAGAGACACGGCAGGGATTGCCTGAGGAGAAAGGGGAGGAGGTAGAGGAAGAGGAAAAGAGTGTGGACATGCAGAAAGACAAAGACGAGGAAAATGAAGAAGTTGAGAGTGCAGCTGGGAAAGAATTTGCCATAGGAGATGCAGAACAGATGAAAGATGCGTCAACAGAGGAAGCAGCAGTGCTTGAAGAGGAGGACAAAAGTGATAAAGATATTGATGACATCAGTACTCACACAGTCCAGATTTCATCAGCTGAGGTAGAAGAGACTAACTCATCTGAGGAAGAGGAAACCACAGTCATAGAAAAAGTTACTGATGCTGCTGAAGTGGGATCTGACACTGCCCTTACTGAAGAAGAGGAATTAGTAGGCAGTGCATCTGTGGTGCCAGAAGAGGCCACAGCCATAACAACAAGAGGTCTGAGGAGCAAAATAAAAACTTCATCTGCCACATCATCACGAAGATCCAAAAGACAGAAAGACCAAAAAGTAGTGGAGACTCAGCAGCAGGAAGAAGACCCTGAAGAAGAACAAGATCATGAGGTAACTAATGATTCACCTCCAAAATCCGTACGAAAAAGGCCAAGAGTGGACTCCAGTGAAAAAGGGGAGGCAGATGAGCAACGTGAGACTGAGGCAGCCACTGAGGAGCAATCAGATGACAACAAAGACAACAAGAAAGCTAAATCTTATGCAGATGAACCGAAAGAGAAGCTCGACAACTTAGATAGAGATAGAGAGGTAGAGACAGCAGGTATAAGTCAAAAGGATGTAGACAATGAGCAGAATATGTCAAAGGAAGAATTAGAGCCTATAGTGATTGGAAAGAGAGTTTTAAGAGGGAGGTCAGTTTCTTCAGTAATAGTTACACCCCAGCCAAAATGCAGAAGGTACAGTGCTAAAGTTCAAACAGCAGAGGAGTCTTTGTCTGATGAAGAAGAGAATGCTCGATTTGCTCAGAAGAGAAAAAGCACTGAGGTAACAGCAACTCGCAAATCTAAGCGTCTCAGCAGAGATTAGGATGTTCTCAATGCTATGATTGACTCACATAAAATGTATGTAATTGTGTTCATACCTGATGTTTTACTGCAAGCTTCTGTAGTGTGCAGGCTCACAGTGTAGACATACAAACTTTTGTACATTTTTCATCTTGATTTAAAGGTAGACTATCACTTTTGCAATGTTACCTCCATTAGTACGTGTTTCATGCTAGATATGCTCTTAAGTTTTGGTCTGTCCAGTAGGTTATGATGGGTAACATTGGCTAGTGGTAGATGCAACTGTGTAACTGGTATTACTGAGTCAGGTCACTGACTTAACGACTCTTTTCTACTTTAGCTAATGTTGCACTAAGCTGTAGCATTTACCCTTATCCCATAAATGGTGACAGACCTTTCCAGGGGTACCCCACCTCGATCAGTGCAAGCTGCAATAGGCTCCTGTGCCCCATGGCCCTGCAAAGGGTAAATGGCTAGAAATGACAAATAGCAGTATCTTTTTACTGTTAGGGCTTGTGACCACAGTGGCTGCTGTGCATAAGTCACATATTCTTGCTTTAAATACACTGTCTACAATCTAAAAATATAGGAACAAAAGATGAACTTCAGGCACTCATGCATTGAGCAGGAACAGATGCTTTTGAATTAAGTTAAAAAGCCTTTTTTTTGAGTATCGAGAAAGCACACTACTATTTCATTCTTTAAAGTGCAATTTCAAAATATAATTTTAAACTTCCCCCTTTACACCCGGGGACACTGTGGGTCACAATTTTTTTCACCAGTAAGTCTCATTTATCTACAAACAAAAAACGATGCCACCACGATCACTCGAAAGACTCAAGACAAACAAATTCTACACAATGTGGCTTTAAAAGACCTCTGATTCTCTGCATTCTATACTCATTAATTCGAATTTTTGTAAAGAGTTTTTGCCTTTTCCCAGTTTGTATGTGAACATCAAGTATATTTTGTGGTACAACACCAAGTTTGATCAAAGAGATAACAAAATCTAACGGGACCACATTGGATTTCTTTTGACTGTTCCTTAAAAAGCCATAATTTGGATTTCAACTGAGGATTCTCACATATGGGAATTACTATTTTTATATTGTAAATATTTTTTTATATTTCATCGAAAATGTGAATATCTAGTTTGCATTTTGCAAACAGATCTCTCAACTGCAGGTCTTTATATAATCTTAATTAGCAATATGCAACAAGGTCCAATTAGAATTACAAAGAATTTATGAGATGCTTATTCCAAGGAACAAGTCAGTTTGTAAAGGCTGCATTTTTTTTTAATTATTTGTGTACTTTGATATAAAAATTATAACCAAAACATGCTCTTTCTTTGCAACTATCAGCAGAACTCAGGTCTTAATGTTAGCATGTTCTCTTTTTATATACATTTAACATGTAGAGATTTTAACATGCAGCTCGATCTAATATGTAATCACCTCATGTTACACCTTTGATTAACTGTGAACTTGAGCTTCATACCCTGTAGAAAGGCCATCATGGAGTCAATGTCCTCAGTCATGTTTATGTTGTTTTCACTAATGTGGTATCATTTAGTCAACATTATACATTGTCTCATCAGTGGTAGTTTGAGTGTTGATTTTGTTAGTTGTATCATTTGGAAGCTAACATTTATTTAGCAGTGTGATGTAAAACTTTGATGTGTCACACTTGTATTTGTGCTAAATAGATGCCAATTAAGGTCATGAACTAATTTTTAGCTGCAAAATTATTTTTCCATGAATTGAAATGGTGGCAAATAAAGTTTTTAAAGGTCATATTCCAAGTGTTGTTGTATTGATTAACTTGACATAACATTGAGTTTCACTTAATTTTAGTGTTCAATCCATGACACACATCACTTACTAAATATTATTAATTTGCCATTTTCATCAATGTGAATGCTGAATGTTCATCAGATCTTCAGTTAAGCTGCCAGGACACTATTGTAATCCTAGGTATTCTTCTTCTTCTTTCTTCTTTCTTCTTCCAAGGAAATCATACTTCCCATGGGTAAAAACTCACCAAACTTTGCACAAAGGTCCAGTCTCATGCCAGATATCCTCAGCTGTAAACCCAAGCCAATAGTCCTGATGGTGGCGCTACAGCAAGCGTCTAAAGTTCAAAACTTTGAAAATTCATAACAAATCAACCATACATGCTACAACTTCACAACTTTAATCAAACTGTAGCCCCAATACTGAAGAAACTTTTGTACATTTATACAACCTATTAAAAATTATGAAGTTCATCACTGTTTTTTTTTTTTTCAAAAACTGTAAAACTTCTTAAACCTATCTCCTCCCACAATTTTTGCTCAGTTGACACCAAACTTGCTACAGAGCATCTTCAGACTGTCCTACAAAAACTAAGTTTCTCAGATTTTTGATTTATCAAAAATTGACTCTACAGTGCATCACAATGTTTGACTGTAAACGGTACTGTAAATATATACATGCAAATTCTTGCTAAATAAATCTTCAATGTTCATGAAAAAAATGACAAAATTCTAGAGTCATGGTAGATGATGAGATTTTTCAGAATTTTGTCTCAAAAACTGAATTTTTGACAGCATTTTCAATTTTGCACTAATGTGAACAATTGGAGTCAGTGTAAAAATGGCAATTTTAAACATCAGTTTTTCACTTATGGAGCAAATCATTCATTGTTACAAACAAATTACCAACATCTCCATGCTTTCTAGATGCAATATGTGTATTTTCAGATATTTGTCTTAATAACTGAATTTTTTACAGTGGTTTCAAATCTGCCTTTCCATGCACGGATGGCTGCTTTCCTACACAACAGTGAATGGCTTACTCAACTTGTGAAGCCACTGTTGAGTTGCTATTTGCCAATTAGCTCAGAGCGGTAGATGACCGTCTTAGGTTCCAGAGGTTGCGGGTTCGAGCCTCAACTGGTGCAGAATCCGCATTGTAATCTTCTTCTAATCTTCATCTTCTTGTGCTCACTGTGTAGCATCTTCAAGTCATTTTTCTGCTAGACAATCTGCCTTCTCATGCTTGAAAATAAACCAAACTTTGCACAAAGATCCAGTGTCAATACTTCAGTGTGAAACCATCTGAGGCTTCTCACTTTGCATAGCTCAACTAGTTAAACATCAGTTTTTCACTTATGAAGCAAAGCAATTATTGTTAAAATAAATTACCAACGTCTCCATGCTGTCTAGATGCAATATGTGTATTTTCAGATTTTTGTTTTGATAACTGAATTTTTTACAGTGGTTTGAAATCTGCTTTTCCATGCATGGACGGCTGCTAAACCTGCACGTCTGGCTTAGTCAATTTGTGAAGCTACACATGAATTGTCACTGACTAATTAGCTCAGTGAGATAGAAATTGATTCTTAGTCTCAGAGGTTGTGAGTTCAAGTCTCAGCTGATGCGAAAGGCAGATTGTGTTGCTAAATGTCTTCCAATTCTTCTGCTTGTTGCTCAGAATTGCCTAAAAATGCCCGGACCCGACCCATCGCTGCGCAGCAGCTATAATTATTCTTTCGATTCCATAAGAATAATTGGCTGTCTGATGCTTCTGCACACTTTCAGCCACAGAAACCATTCAAGCCTTTTTCTACCACTTATACTTTATTAAATATTAAGCTTTTTTTCAGATTTTTAATATGAATGTTGATTCAGCATTCACACTACTGTGGAATTCTCTCACTTCTGTATGTTTTCAGTTTACTACTCCTTTTCTTTCACCTACAAAAAAACATTAGAATATCAAAAATGCTGAGCTCTTTTAGGACATGTGTGCTCTTTAATCAATGTTTTTCTTCCACTTATCACATAGTTACAATGTAACTATGGGGCGACTCTTTAAATCCTCTTAAACCTTCTCCACCTCAAAATGCTATTCCTACCAAATTCTCTCAGCGACAGACTTCATGTAAACTTTAAATAAGTTAAAAAACTTTGAACTGAATGTGAGGACAGGTTTGAACATGAGCAGAAATCTTGCTGAACCACGTGAGCTATTCAGTTGTATGGGGTTCATGAATGAATTAAAATGAATTAATTTATTATTGATTTATATGTGCGACACTTGCAATTTGAATGAGGTTCCTTCCCCAAACAATAGTCAACTCTGCCCACAGGTGTGCTGACTCAGCAGAGATAACATAAAATGATAAAAGCCGATATGCCCGGGACAAAAATATTTGAAACCCATACAGAATGCCTCAGAGCCTTACTGCATTATATCCTATTATTGCCTATTTTTATATTTTTGAAACATCATCTATCACCTGAATTTTGCATTTTTCTTTGCATAAAGACATTTCCACCATAAATTGGTGCAGAAAAATCACGTGAATGCAGGAAATAAAGTGTTAAACACTTAAAATTTCCTGCACACTGATATGTGTCCCCACCAATATGTAATTTAGAGTCTGGCCAATCTCATTCGTAATAACAGCTATGTATGATTTAGACTCACATTAATTCAGCCTTAAGGCCAGGAGCTCGTGGGGTCTACATCATATCGTAGTAGTATCTCTGCATTCTGTGATGTGAAATGATTTCTGCTTTTGCTAAGGATGGAGTTGTATTCTGCCCTCAATTTTTTTAAGATTCTGAGATCTTTTTCTGTAGAAGGGTCTGTAGACCCTCTGGGTCAGAGAATCTTTTATCCCATGCTTCAAGGATGATAAAAAAAACAGATGTAATTTCCTCTAAGAAAACACTTAAAAACTTCCCACATGACCTGTGGAGTGTAAAAAGTTGTGAACTGAAGCGCCATCTACAGGGTCTATGGGAAATTACAGGAGTAAATTTACATTGGGTGCAGACATACATTCATACGAAGATGATGATATAAGAATGTAATCAATTCTAGAATATGACTTGTGACATGATAAATAAAATACTTATTACAGATTGATTGAAAAACCTCCACACATCAATCAAATCATTTATGAAATCACAGACGTTGAGACCCAGCTGGATGTCCTATCAGAGTCTTGAGAAATACCATTAGAATGGGACAATTTCAAAAAGTGAGAAGTGTATGTGTTATTAAAAGAAAAATGGTGGGTCAGCAATATTTGAAGCACATACTGTGGTAATGATCATTCATGTGTTGTGGACATGTAAAAAATCAGAGGGCTCTACCAGAGGCCTGGGAGTTTGAGGTTTCTGCGCAGTATCTTAGCTGTTCCTTGGACTGCGCTGTTCTGGACAGAGACCTCAGATGTTGTACTTGGAATCTGCTGGAGCCTCTCTCCAAGTTTGGGGGTCACAGCCCCGAGTGCGCCGAGTACCACTGGCACCACTGTTGCCTTTACTGTTGCCGTTTTTTCCCCCTGTTAAAGGGTTTTTTTGGGGGAGTTTTTCCCTTATCCGCTGTGAGGGTCGTAAGGACAGAGGGATGTTGTATGCTGTAAAGCCCTGTGAGACAAATTGTGATTTGTGATATTGGGCTTTATAAATAAAATTGATTGATTGATTGATTTACTCCCCACATCTTTTCTAGGTGCTCTTTCAGCCCTTGGTATTTTTCGAGCTTCTTGTGTTCCTTCTTCTTTATGTTGCTGTTTCTCAAGTTTCTACATCTATCACCACTGCCTTCTTCTGTTGTTTGACCATTAACATGATATCCGGTTGGTTAACTATCACCAGTTATTCAGTCTGGATCTGGAAGTCCCACAGGATCTTAGCTCAGTCATTCGCAACCGCCTTAGGAGGTGTCTTCCATTGTGACCTTGGGACTTCTAGCCCATACTCAGTGCAGATGTTCCTGTACACTATTTTTGTATAATCTGTTTGTTTGTTTTTAAACCCTTTATTTTTTTTTACCACCTGTGACATAAACATATTTACAGAACAGTATTTACAAAGCAAAGAAGAAAGACATTCAAACAACACAAAACAAATTTAAGCTGTCATATTGGTATTGGGAGGATGAAGTGAGTGAGTGAAACAGTATAAAGACAAATCAGCTTTGAATGAACCGCAGAAACGCAGACCAGGTGTTATGGAATGGGGTCAGGTTTGACTTTTAGGGCTGCTGTGAGCTTTTCTAAGTTTGCGTGGTCCATCAACAGATTGAGCCATTGGTTTACTGATAACTGTTAACTGACAACTAATTACTGCTATTAGAATTAAAGTCTTGAGATGTTGTGGGATTGTGAATGAGAAGAGATCACCTAGAAGAGCGATGGAGGGGGAGAGAGGGATGCTGAGGTTGAGGATCTTGGACAGCTCTCCCATGACCTCCAACAAAAACCGTTCAACATGCGTGCAGAGCCAGAACGCATGGAAGTGGTTGTCTATTACAGAGGGACAGTGTGTGCAGGTGTTACAGTGAAGTATTTTGTGGGTGGTGATATGAACTCTGTGAAGGGCCTTGTATTGAATTAGCTTAATTTTTTTTGAGTTGGATGACAATGAGAATGTATTGTTACATATTGTTTGCCAATTATTGTCTGATTGGCATTCAAGTCTGATGTCCATTTGGATTGGAACAGTATTGTCATGATGGGAGAAGAGTTTGTAAATCTGTGATAATAGTTTTCTGGGTTGGAAAGAACACAGTTGTGATAATTGGAGAGTGGAGTTGTCAAAGTTGTGGATATCAATTTTCTTTCTTATGGTCTCTTTAAGTGTATGCTGGTAGTGCCAGTAGTGGGGGTAGGTTGTGTTTGTTTGAGAAGGTTGAAGGTTATGTGAGAGCTGCCACGAAAGAGGTGCCCAGGCTGGTTGCTTCTCTCCGTTTTCATGCCGGAAAGTTGATGGGTTTTGCATTGATTTGAAACATGGGGTAATGCTAGATTGGGGTGAGAGCAGAGGGGTGTAGTTTGAAATTGAATATATTGTTTTCTTTCCACCAGGCAGTGAGAGTCATGTTTATGGTATTAACTTTAAAGCAGGTGTGAGTCTTAACTGATTTCTCTGTAAGTGGGATGTGCTGAATTGGGAATTCCTTGCAGATTATCTATCTATCTAGATATCTATCTAGATATCTATCTATCTATCTATCTATCTATCTATCTATCTATCTATCTATCTATCTATCTATCTATCTATCTATCTATCATAATGTTACATTATGCAGTGCTTTATTCACTTATTTGAAGAGTACATGACCTCACATGTTTGTGTTATCTATTGTGTGACCAGGCCACTCTGGGAATTTCACCCAGAGAATGAATAAGTCAATGCACAAGTTCTTTGAGAAGAAAAGGAGCAGAGACATGAGTTTCTAGTTTCAAAATAACACTTTTATTTAAATCCACCAGTATTTAACTTATTGGGGAAAGAAGCTATAAGTAAAAAAATATGGTTCTTTATTACAAAATAGACTCTAAAATGTTAAGATTTCTAGGCTCATTACCAGTACAGGGGGAAGGGTGCCAGGGAAACCCACAGGAGGATGGGAGTGAAGGGGGGAGGAAACCACCACCACGAGCATGAAGGGAGTTTACACATGCACTGTGAAACAAAAAAGGCACACGGGTTAATACACACAGCAAACACATGCAATAGAGAATGTCCCACTATTCATGCAGAGGGACACACACACACACACACACACACACGTTTAAGGCCACAGCAGATAAAAGAAAAAAAAAAAAATCTGGATAGCTGAAAAGCTCCACCCAGTGACCAAACACCTACAGGTATATAACAACCCAACCGTCCCGTAACTGGCAGAAAAGAAACCCAGCAATATCACAAGTCTCAGGTTATATAGGCTACACAACCACATCAATTTATAAAATAAAGGTGTACAAAACAGAGTAAAATAGCTCCCTCACGTTACGGGCCTTCACATAATCAATATACACATACAATGAGACAGGGTAGAGCCAACTGAGTCTGCCTTAAGACAGAAAATAATCCAAATCAACTATCACAAATGAATAGAAGCAAAAAAAGAAACCTAAAAAAAAAAGTATGAAAACTAAATTAACTACAGGACAAAAACAGCAGTGGCAACAGAGCTCCGCCTAATAGGACAAAACAAACACAATATTAAAACATAGGTCTTCACTTGAATAAGAAAACACTACTAGGCAGTTGAACAATGGTTACCTTTGCTGAAGTACAACGGAACTAGTGCATATGGGACACCAACATCATACTCCTTGCTCCTACGACAGACTGACATTACCCAAAGTATGACATTAGGTGAAAAGTATGACATGTACAGGACTCATGTATGAAACTACAGTTGTAAGTAGTAGCATACCTTGGGCAACAGGTTACAGTGACCAAACAATTGCCCCACATGTGATCCAACACACACACGCAGCACTCGTGGTGTCGGGGGATGGGGCTGAGTCCTACTGCAAACAACACCTGTGAAGATGCCAGAGAGAAACTTAACATGCCCACAGGTAACAGCTAGAAAGGAGGCAGATAAGATGCATAACTTATTGTGACATGATCTCTCTCAAACATGGAGACAGGACAGATGAGGAAAGCCTGTGGCTGGCTGCACACAGCTACTTTTAATGGGCAGTTAGACCAGGGAGTAATCAAGTCTCACCTGGTCCCAATAGAGTAATCAGAAGGGTGTGGCAGAACACAAGAGAGAGGGAGGGAGTTTGAGCGAAAGAAGTCTCCCTCACTACAATCGGTTGTTGTTGCATTACTCTTGCTAGCCTAGAATTTGATAATAATCACATGCAATAATTCAAACCCTGCATTCCAAATTATCTTCAAGCATTATAATGTAATGTAATCAATAAGGTCTAATCAACCTCCTTGCCCCCCCCCCCCCCCCCACACACACACACACAGACAAAAAGTCAGAAAGTGACAAAAGAGGGAAAGAAAGATGTCAAAAAGAAAGCATTTCCTCCAGAATACATTATTCATTTGTTTAAAGAAAAAACCCAAGCCATGTGACAATGTGTATGTATGTTTTTTGTGTTTTTTTTATTATAGATGATGACTTTGTGTGTAGTGTACAGCGTGGGTAGTGTACTTGTGTTTGTAGGTGTCATTTTGGTATGAATTTTGCTAAAACTGGTTAAAGGGGCCTCTTTACCTCTCACCTCAATATGTCTCAGTGAAAATGGGTTTCTAGAGTCATAACAATAGAAAACCTCTCTCCCTCCTCTCTCTCTCAAAAGACCATTGTTGTTGTACTAAACCTACTAGCACAAAGTAGCCTGCCATAGGACAAAAAAAATCACCTCACTGTATAGGATTATGTACAGCCTACTATAAAGTAGTTACTAGCTAGAGTGGTCCAAACTGATGTTAAAATGCTTATATTTTTTAGTCAAATAATATGAATATTTTCTGCAGCTGGGCCACAATCCCTGCGGCACCAGGCGGCATACACATGCTGTTGTGTTGTGATCTGAATCAATCGCACAGACGAGACGTGTGCTGCTGGGCAGTGCTGCTGTGTTTTATCTAAGCAAACCAGCCAGTAGGAAGCAAAAAACTTGTAGTTTCTTCCAAACAAACTGTGTAAGTTGAGTAATGCTGTTGCATGTAGAAATGTTAGCTAAATGATGACTAAATAATAGATGCCAATGTATCAAGTTAAGCTAGTTAACAAGAATACTAATGTCATTGTTACCTATGTTAATTCGCTTGCTAGCTAGTTTCATGCTAGGAATAAACCCACTCCTTAATTTCTGCGCAGAACTTGTGCTCACTATTGCTTTGCACATATTTTTTAATCTTTATTGCGACAATAGAAAGCAGTATCAGGGAGGAGACAGTGGACCAGGGCCCAGCAAGGATGGTTATGCAGGGTCTTCACAGGTGAGGAGAGAATATAACTGGCTGAGAAAAATTATCATTAAAGTGACACAGCTATGTCACCACTACTATTCTTAATTCTATTGATAAATTTTGCTTTGCACGTTTATTATCTATATTATTGCAATAGATAGAAGAGGGACAGGGAGAAACCAGGCAGGTATTTGGCACTTAATTATCTGCCTACTTACCCTGTAGATGCTCGAGGGTCATTCTGTGTCAACTCAACCAGAGTTTGGCAGCTTAAACTTTAGATTTTGATAGTATATAATTTTAAAGAACTAAAATCGGTCCCCTGGTGCTGTACTGTGGCTGTTTGTGGTTATGTGGTTCTTTAGCCGCTAAGGAGAGGTGCAACTGAATGTGAGGGGATGATAAATCACTCAATAGACCTCGGAAAAATTTGTCCCCCTCACTTCTGAAATGATGGCTACACCCCTGCCTTCATTTGTATACTAGTCAGTGAGGGGAACATTTCTCTATGCCGTATCAAACTTGTGCCAGCCCAAGCAACCACACTCACTACTTATACTTTGTAACTGCATCACACTTTTCACACCAGCACTATGCTGGATTTCCAGCGTGCGGCGAGGGAAAACAAACAAAAGTTGGTGCGGGATACATGGGCGCGTCGCAGACAGTAAACAGGCTCTGGTAGAAGCGCTTTAAACTGAGACCTCTCGGTCTCAACCTATGGCTTTCAATGATGTTGATTTATTAAAATGTTATCAGACCCATATGTGGCAACAGGAGGGATGGAGGGAAGTTTAGGTTACCAAGTTATTGGTGAATATTAATATTAATTAGTCAACCAGGACAAGCCGGACAACGCCACCCTGGGAGTTTCACCCAAGGAGATAGTTAGATCTACAAAACCCCAAATAAGGCACTCAGGTTCGCTCTACAGTGAGGCAGGAGACGTGTTTCCAAGTTTAGAAAAATCTTTATTACAAAATACATCGCTAAAATACACTAGACACACCGTCCACACAGGGATTAAGAAAAGGGGGACCTTTCAGTACTGAGGCTTATCGGCAGGGAGGTGGGTCGACAGAGGTGTGAGGGATCCAACAAAATTAAGGTCAGCCCAATCACACATGACAGCCACACGCGCGCACACACACACACACACACACACTTTAGTGAAGGGAAAGCCAGGACCAGGGGACGCACAGCACACCAAAAGAAAGAGGGGAAGCCACCATCCAGGACACCATGACCACCACCTTTGGCTCTCAGCAACTGAAGGGGGAAGACGGAAATAAAACTAATGGGGTTGCACTCAAATGACCATAAACAAAACAACCAAATCAACAAACAAAAACAAACCTTAAATAAACAAAACTTGTAAGGTTGGCAGCCAAAAGTTTACAAATTGACCCAAAAAAAAAAAAACCCAAATACACAAATATAAACTGCCAAAAACAAGTTAGTAACAAAATAAATCAAAATACCACAAATCGATATTCATAAAGAAATCCAAAATTCACAAAAATCAGGAATGAAACAATATAAGTCACCAGCCACAGAAATTAAGTTAACACAATACAACTTAATCAAAACAATGCATTAAACTTAATCCTCTGGGGATCATAAATAAACTCAAAGAAAATGTAACAAAACAAAAACAAAATCAGAGATCCAAACCTGGGGCCTGTATCACAAAGCGAGATCAACCTTTCCTGGGTTACCCAGACCTATCCTGGGTTGACTAACCCTAACAATGGCAATCAGGATAATCGGTATCACGACACTGGATATCAACTCGGTAACTCAACCCAGTGTTGCTTTATCAAGAGCCGTGAACGCGCACGCAGCGGACCAATCACAATCATGAGAGAAGCGCAGCGTCACTGAGCGTCCTCACAGAGCGCCGTATGTGAGGAGAAAAAAGTATTTCTCGTGAGGATCAGAGATTAATTCTACTAAAATATGAGGAGGAGAAAAGCAACATTACAGAAAAGGCCAACACCGTGGCAGCTGCAGGAGGAGGAAACATGTGTGGCAACGCATAATGGGATGAATAATGTTTAGTTTTAGTTTAGATTAGTTTATTTGCACATAATGTTAAAAACAGACAGTATAA